TCCCTGGCGGTGTCCATGCCTTCTTCGTCTGGAGCCACTTCAGAGTGCTTGCCTTGGGGCGGCTCGTGCGCAGCTCTTGAAGGATCTTGTTGAATTCTCTATCTTTGCAGCGGTAAACTTGGTGAAGCTTCACCCGGTAGGTAGTTCTCTTCCACATGGGATGCTGCCAGGCCCGCTGCTCGCCGAAGCCCGCGATCTGCATTTCGTCGCCAGCCAGCAACAGGACAGGCAGGTTGTCTGCTTGCCTCCACAGCTTGCGCACGTGGTCGAAATGTTGCCCTTGCATCTGTGAGATTTCGTCTACCACGATGAGCGCATATTGCGACAGGCTCACTGCCATGGCCCCTGGCTCTTCCTCTAGACCGAAGCCTGCGTGGTACGTGTTCACTTCCACTTCTGAGGGCAGCTTGGTCCTCATGCGGCTGGCTTGCCGATTGGTTGGGTAGACGAAGAGCACTTTCCCGCCTTCCTGCAACGTCCGCTGCACGCAAGCCAAAGCCACGGTGGTCTTGCCAGTTCCGGGGCCTCCTGTGCAGACGAAGATTTTACCATCAAAGGCTTCTGCCAGAAGACTCTCCACATCATCCTCCGGCCCTGCAGCCAGGACGGCCAAAGCGCGGTCCACGGCTTCATCGACCTTCGCCTTCAGGCGGCGCTGCTCCCGGTTTAGGCCCGCAGTCTCGTCCTCTGCCAGGGGCCCCGCCGCGTCCAGTCTGCCACGCCTGGCGATCGCTTCGGCTGCTGCGTCCGCGTCCCCTGCCAGGTACTTCTCGACCAGGGCCCGGTTGGCTTCCAGCATGCACAAGAGGGTTTTCTGGAACGCCGTGCTGTGAGCCTCCTTGCGAAGCTCTTCGAGGATCCCGTCTTGCCCGTGCCAAGTCTCTCGCGCCACGGGGTGTTCGCACAACAGAACCATGGCAAAGTTGCGGTGCTCCTTGGGCACGAGGGCCAGCTTGTCTTCCAAACCGTCGCCCTCGAAGAACTGCTTTGGGTCAGTGAACGGCACGTGTAGCATGAGCCACTGTCCGTGGAAGCGGTCGCTCAAGCGACTCAGCGTCGCCGCGGCCACGATCTTCTCGCCCTGCATCTGATAGTCCCGAGCAAACGCCTGAAG